AAGTCGAAGACTGATGAAAACAATTCTTTATGGTCTGAAAGATCCAGATGTTTAACTGGAGTTCCTCGACATTTGGAGTTTTTCTTTATACAGCACTTCCAAAAACATATGTAATACCAACACTTTTAAATTTGCCTACATTACACATGTAAATATTGGAGACACAGATAAATGCAAAAGTCCAACTCCTTTTCTACATATACCACAGATAAATGGAACACTCTCAGATCAAACAATGATGTTCCTCTGTCACAGACATGCAAAAAATATTTTCTTTTAGAAGACGTCTTAGTTACTTTTCTCATTGCTGAAACAAAATACCCGACAACCAAAGTTAAAGGAGGAAAGGTTTATTTCAGTTCACAGTTTGTAGCGGTTCAGCTGGCCCCAAGGCAAGGCGGCATAGCACAGGGGCATCACTGAGGAGAAACAGTCCAGGCAAGGCAGACAGAAGGCAGCAAAGCAGCAGTAGCAAGCCTGCCTCCTTTCTGTCCATTTATATTCCACCCGGGCTACAGCCTATTGATTAGTGTCCCCCATACCCATGGTGGAGCTTCCATTATCTATACCCTAATGCAAGTATCACAACCTTAATCCACATTCACACAACCTAATCCAGCCATCTTCGAAACTCCCCATCTATGGCCATAAGACACTTTGGAGGGACATCTAGATACAAGCCATAACAGAAGATGATTACAAAAACTCTTAATACTTTGCCTGTACATATCATCTATTTTCAGCATATGTTATATCAATTATATGTTCTCATTTCCCTGTATTACTTCAACTATTTACCCTAGTATCAGTCCCAGTCTTTATTAAACCTGAAAGTTTAGTCTTCGATAGGACAACTAGATGAAGCTCATGAGGTAAGTTTGTGCAGCAAATCTATTGAACTTTTAAAATGTTTTTAGTGGTACTAACATGGCAAAGATCTCTGATCTTGTTTGAATTCACCTGTATCTCATAGCAGGATGACTCTGCCCCAAGAAATCTTACTGAAGTTCATATTCAGAACCCCAAAGTAAATATGGATTTTTTTTTTTTTTTTTTTTTTTTGTACTGAGGACTGAGGATCAAACTCAGGACCTTGCTTGGGAGGCAGGCGGTGGAACCACTGAGCTAAATCCCTGGCCCCAGTAAATATGTAGTTCTTTTCTAAGAGCAGCCATTAAAGGACATAGGGAAAGCCCTGCTTACATGATATAATCTCAGGGACATACCAAGGCACAGGACCATCAAAGTCCAGACTAGGGAGCTGTGTTCTGTTCACCTGACTACAGCTGGATTTGGGCCAATCCGCAGTTTGGCTGGTGACCTGTGACCTGTCCTGACGAAACTACTGGCCTTTGATATGGAGATACTTAATGAGTCCTTGTCTTGGAAATTTAAACTGAAAAATAGTGAGAAGAGAATAAGCTCCTCACAGTTTCTTGTGTCTGTAATAGAAATGGAAGCATTTATAACATAGCAGCAATTAAATGAATCAGTTTCAGAGAATTTAGAGACTGGCACTAACAAGCACACAATAAATGCATTGCTATCGTCATTTTGAGTACTTGTCTCTTCTTCAAAAAGCTTCTCTGAGAATACATGTACCATAACACATGTGCAGTAAGCTAAAAACTGAAAGGAACAAAGAATAACTAACCCAATCAGATATAAAAGGAAAAGTTAAGTCCACTTTAATAAAAAGTGGAATTCATACAGAAAGAAGTAGGCACAATTTGTTCCTGAAAGTAACACAAGTATGTGGGATTTTGGTGCATGATAAAGGTGGTATTACAAATTAATGAAGAAAAGATATAATATTATTAAGTTATTAATACTATTTTAGGAACAACTTGTGAGCCATTTGGAAAAATAAAATAGAATCATTAACTTGTCTCTTACATCAAATAAAATCCTGGGTGAGTCAAAGATTTAAATCTAAAGCATGAGAGAAGTAGAAGAAAAACATGCATGAATAGTTTTGAAATAGTGCGAGATGTGTTGCTTAGAAGAAAAAACACCAGCACTAAAAAATGCTAGTTGAGAGGCACTGGAAATTTAGCTCAGTTGTTCTGCCGCCTGCCTTGCAAGTGCAAGGATCTGAGTTAGATTCCCGGTACCAAAAAGAAAAATGCTGGTTGTATTCACCTAAAAATTAATAGCCAATATTTAAGGTGAAAACTCATGAAATTAAAGGGAAAATAGCAAATTTAGAGAAATATTAGCAATACAAATAAAAATTTAAAGACTAATTTTCATAAAACACAGAGAGCTCCTTAAAAGTCACTATTAAAAGAGCTGGTCTTTTAATAGAAAAATGGGAAAAGACACACAAATCACTAATAAATATATATAAATAATCTCTTTATAACCAAATAAATATATTTTTCTCATTTCTTTTTATTTATTATTTTTAAAATGTGTACTGGAGATCAAATATAGAACCTTCTCACTGAGCTACAGCATCAGTCTTTTTTACTTTTTATTTTGAGACAGTTTCTAAGTCACTAACTTGTGTAAGCTGAACTTGAACTTGAGATCCTCCTGCCTCCCAGAGTGGTGCGGTTACGGATGTGCTCCACCATACCTGGCTATAAATGTATATTTGAAGAGACAATTAAATACTACTTTACCACTACTAAATTAACCACGTCTAAATGATAACAACTGGTGTGGAAGCAGCTCGATTCGGTGTCTGTAGGAGTATAGATTGGTTGCACTGGTTTTGGAAGGCAATTTGATAATACATTTTGAAGTAGCAATGCGCACTGTTTTTTTAACCTTCAATTTTTTGAAATACCTAAAGTTCTGTGTGTTTCTTGGCTAGGATGAGAATGATGCACCTCTCTCTCTTCCCACAATGACAAAAACCTGACAGTCTGCTCCACCTGACTGTGGAAAACACACTGCACACTTCAGCACCTCCGGGTATTGGTCACACAGTCCCCTCAGCCAGGGATGCCACACTTTTGTCAAAAGCCTGCAGAGTCCCAAGGCTCAGCACAAGGCCTGGCTCTCCGTGAATGCCCCTCTCCTCTCCAACATATGTACCCAGTCCACACTGCAGCCACACCTACAGGGCACAGGGACTATCCATGCACACCGTGTGGAATATTCAGTAAAATACTCCTGGGACAAGCAGCATCCTAGGGATTAGGCCAAGCAACTAACGCCTTAGTGATCACTAGGTTAGCTTTTCTTTTCTTTTCTTTTTGACTTCAAAAAGGTGAAAAGTAGACACCTCATCCTAGAGCCTCCCCTGATCACCCTGTCTTGTTAGTTTTCCTCCTTTCCCCAGCTCCCACTTCCACAGCTTATGTGTCAGGGACTGTAAGAGACAATACAGTTCAAGGCCTGCTGTGTGCTAGACTAGGAACCACACAAGCAGGACTTTGTCTGTTTTCCCTGCCCTACTCTGGACACCTGGACAGGTACCTGCATGCAGATGGGATTCGGAGGTGAATCAGAGTGTGCTGTGGGCCATGGGCCATGGGCCTAAAACCAGAGGTAGGAGGATACCAATTCCACCTCCTTCCAATCTCACCTTATTTTCTCTCCTTGTAATCTTTCTCAGATTCTTGGACCCACTAAGATCTTTCCCAGCTGAAGCTTCTTTTAATCTTTACAGTCCAGTTGAAACATTTCCCATTTTTCTCTCTCCCTTGTTTGTTCCTTCCATAATGGTCATCAAAATTCATGGTCATTTATTTTATTCCTTCATTAAAATATTCATTTCATTAGAGTTGGGCCCATGTAACCCTTCAACCTATGCCTGGCACATAATAGGTACTCAGTTTTAAAAAAAAGTTTTAGAGAATATTGCTGAAGGATACTCTGCTTCACAGTTTTGATTAAGGTCTGCTGAATTCCTGGGTCAAACCAGAAAATGGAAAATCCCTCCCCAGAAATACTCACAGGCTTATACCTTGCACAGCTGCATTCAGTCTAGAAAGTTTCCTTGTCTCTACCCTCAGCATAAATGAGACTTGTGCGTCACATTAGGGGTCACTCTGTATTCCAGCTGTGACTGTTCTATCCACCATTGGCTGAATATTTGAACTCGTGGGGAAAATATTCTTTGAGAATGTTTAGAAGATGCTCTCAGGCAATCTTTCACATGATCTGCATTTCGTACTGATATTGAAGACCTTACTAATTGGGGATATGGCATCAGTAGTAATTCATCTGCCATTTTCACAAACCTAAAAATTTAGCTTCCTGAAGAAATAGTTTCCACTAGCAGGTAAACAGAATTCTTTACATCCTAGTCCCATATTCTGAAACTTTTCCATTCCCACACTTAGCTTGCCTTTTCAAAGTAAAATTATAAGTTAAGATTTTTACTTCTATTGATTCCGTCTAATACCAATATAATTTTCTCCAGAGTTAATGGTTCAGTCCTTCCCTGGGTACATGGCTCACATGACAATACCTTTGCATACACCTGGCACACAGTTGATATTCACTAATTCTTTTTTCTTTTTTTTTTTTGGTACTGGGGATCAAACTTGGGACCTTGTGCTTGTGAGGCAGGCGCCGGAACCACTGAGCTAAATCACCGGCCCGTTCACTAATTCTTTAATAAAGGAAGTACTGCTATTTACCAGTCAGTTTTTTATGAGGAAATTTAACAAACAATGTCACTTTTATGATTTTGTCAGTAACGCATTCTTTTCTGGGTAATAATATTTGCCAGTAAATTACAAAGTCCTTTCATTTTATTATTTTTAATGGGCTTTCATTTGCATTTAGTTGCCTTTTAATAATGCATTTTCTCTTCAGTTTGGAAATAAATGGTTCCACATTCTTGCTTCTGTTCAGTGAAGGTTCTTTTTAATGGCAGTGGCAGCCCAAATTTATAATCATGCATGGCCTGCCTGTGCACGCTTAAGTAGATGCATTTGCAGAATTCAACCCATAGAGGTCAGAATTAACAAACTAGAAGTGGCCTCTAGAGTTTCAGTCTTCAACTCAAGAGCCCGCAGCTCTGGAGAGTAACCTCTCACCTTTTATAAGCAAATTGGGTTTTTCTTCAAAGGATTTTTTCACTTCTCTTCATCTGGTGTTATAGGAGTACGTCTGGATGACAAAAGGAAGACAATGTCAAAATCATTGTGAGTGAGTAGGCTAATGAGCCTTTTGTATATTGCACAGAAATGTTCCTGACTTGACAATTTAGATAACTATTTTAGTCTTTCCTAATCTTTTATCAAAAATGTTCTTTACTGATTTTCCAACATAGACCAAATAGGCTCTATATTCACACTGACATAATGTATTTTTTAGAAATAAATTATTACAATATGTGTATTTTTAAAATTGTAATTGACAAAAGCTCTTCAGAAAAATCATTTTCACAGAAATACATTTATATCTGACCTCAGCTCCAGATTATAGCAGAGGCCAAAAAAAAAAAATGAGAATTTCTTACTGTTTAAAATGTTTAGGGATTTTAAACTTCAGCTTAACACTCTTTCAGTACTCTGGGAGGATTGTCCCAGAGTTTCTTGCAGCCTGGTTAATGTCACTTTGCCCTACGGAAGCTCATAGAAAGGCAAAAGACAATGAGCATGTGTGACAAACAAGCCTGAGCACCAGCACTAACCCAGCTTTCATCGGAGTCCTTAGTACACTGCAGACATTGCAGACACCTCAAACTATCTATCCCCTTCTGTGTTCTGCTCTTGAGATCCAGTTTCCCATTCTTCTCCTCCTTCCTGTTTCTCATTGTCATTTGGATTCCTCCTCTTATGGTAAACAAACTTCATCATTATCCTTAACTTACCCAAGAAGCTTCCCCCCCGGACCCTCCTTCCATAGAGGCATACTCCACTGTCCCTGGGAGGCCAGCTCTCTGCAGACCTCTCGGGGAGAAGCTGTCCCACATTTTCAAGCTCTGCTGGCGTGCACTGCACGAAGCCAGGATTACCTGCTATTGCTTCCACACCAATTCTTCTTCCTTCAGTCCCTCATTGTCATTTGTACCTCTGACCTCACTCCACATGTGTCACCACTTCCCTCTGGAAGAATACACTCTCCTTACATGAGCTGCCTCCTCACAGTACATTGACCTTTCATGACCACAATTTGAGTTGAATGACTTTTCTGAATGGCCCCATCTCTGAAATCTAGACTCCAATAGCCATTCGCCCTTGCCACACCCTATTCCAGATGACAGTGCAGCCACAGCTCAACCAGATGGGTAGCTCCAGTTCTGAACCCCAGCCATCCAACCTATTTTGTGCTCCTTCACTCTTTTCCACACTAGACTCTGTTCAGTCAGTTCAGTGCTTTGGCTCTCACCTCCTTAGTGTCTCAAATTCCTCACCTACGTGGACTGCTTCTCTCAGCTCTTCCTTCTTCTGTTTTCACATTACAAATTCTTGCAGCAGGTCCTTCTCTACACCCGTGGCTTTCACTGCTACTAAAAAGCTGGGGATTCCCGAATCTCATCTCTAGCTAGATCTTTCCTCCAAATTCCAGAGCCTCATAGCTGAGTGTCTATTGGACATTGCCGTGAGCAACTTCAAACTCAGCTTGTCAAAACTGAATTACTCATCCCTCCCCCACTGTGGGACTGGGAAATGTGATCCTCCTCCGATATCTTTCATCTTCCTGAGTGGTGCCTCATCTACTTAGTCCTTCAAACTGAAAACCAAGAGTCATTCTTGATCCTCCCCATTTTCAATCACCAAGTTCAGGCAGTTGCCCTCATTCCTGTCTATGGACTGCTCCGTGCCATTCAAATGGACCCGATTCACTTCTTACTTGAATGTGCTGTCAGTTAGGAGTCTTTGGTTGTGAACAGAAACTAGTTCTGGCTAATTTGTGTTATATATATGTACATGGGTATGTATATGTGGTCAGAAGACTAGAAGGATACTGGTTGGTTTCCCAATTCTGAAGAAAAGCCAACTGGATCTTTGGGAGCCAGTGGCTTGTGGAGGTAGGGAACTTTCTAAGGTAGACCATAAGCCAATGATCCTGAGCCCCTGTGTCCCTCCTAACTAATCTCCCTGGTTCAACCCCTCCCACAGCACTTTGATAATTCCCAAATCTCTTATTCTATAGCAGCCAATAATCTCTTTTTCTAAAACAGAAATCCAATTATATCTCTCTTCTGCTTAAAATTCCTCAATGCCTCATCAGAGCTTTCTGAATAAAATCCCTTGAGCACTGATAAATTGCCTTCTTTTGGCTTTATCCATGACAACTCTGCCTTCCCTCCCTCCACCTCATTCCCTGTCCCTGGGTCATATGTAACTACATTCAGTTCCCTGCATGTCAAAGAATCCCTCAAGTTCTGTATCAGTAACAGTGGCCCTGGCAGAAATCTCACCTGAGATGGTTCAAATGAAGAACTCCTGAATGAAAGAACCCCTTCCAGAGCTGCAGGAAGGGTTAAGTGATTTAACAATGGAAGATGGAGCATCCACAGACCAAAAGTGGTGGGAAGCCATTACCGTTCTAGAACTGAAAAGACATGAGGGGAAAACAATACCAGAGCCCAAGAAGATCTGGTGTCATGGAGGGCACAGTCAACCATTTGAATTGGCATTGTTGCAAGAACAGCTAATATCACGGATTAGGATGCCCACCTATACCTCTAGCTTGCCTAGTCTGTTTTGGTTTGTTTGTTTGTTTGGTACCTGGGATCAAACTCAGGACCTTGCGCTTTCGAGGCAGGTACCGGAACCACTGAGCTAAATCCCCAGCCCAAAATGCTTGGCCTTTTTTTTTTTTTTCTTTGGTACCAGGGATCGAACTCAGGACCTTGCACTTGTGCAGCAGGCAGTGAAACCACTGAGCTAAATCCCCGGCCCTTTGCCTAGTCTGTTTTGTATGATGTTTCATGGTGGAATTTTTCACACAGTTGTACTGGTTGGTTCACTCGTCTGGCTTCTACATAAGCCTACAAGCTTCCCAAGGACAAAGACCTTCCCAGCCTCAGCACCCCAAAGCATATACAGCATCGTCTCAGGCACAGACAGCATTCAACAAATATCGGCCGAATTAACAAAAAATAAACTTTCACATTTTTCAAGGTAGAGCCTGAAATTAATGGTTTATAAGCAACATAAGAAAAGTGAAGTGAGCATTTTCTGTAGGATTTGGGAAACACTTATTGAAATATGATGGCTTCCACTGTGTTCGTCTCCTTCTGTCTCCAGGATTAGATATCCTCTCTCAGAAGAAATCATTCTGAAATTAAAATGGAGACAACATTGGCTTTCCATAGAAACAATTAGCAAGAACCCCACATTAATATAAAGCAGAAGGTGAGGCAGAGCATCTGTCTTCTCTGATGCAAAAAAGTAAGACTCCATGAGTATTAGTGAGATTCCCAAAACAGGAAGAAAATGATTGGGGCAAACAGAGGGGAAAATCAACCTTAACTAAAAGTGAACAGGCCTTTCTGGGCCCTAAAATTAGTGCATAGATGTGACAGTGAGATGTCCCATGAGAAAAAAATAAGTAGCTCAGATCTCTGAGGGTAAACCTAAGTCAAGACTTAATGGCTCAGAGAGAAGATATAGAAAGTAGCTAGCTGTTAGACTTGCAAAGTTTGACTGTGACATGATTAATTATCTTTAAAGATGTACAACTCTGGACACTGCATAAGTGCATCAACAATCAATATCTGATCATCTCTGGAATACAGACAAGGCTGAGCTTGTGACCCACCAGGTCCAAATACTGGCCAGCCCCTGGACCAATGAGAATTCACTAAGATATAAGAAATGTTAGAATAGGCTGCTGGCTCCTAGAATACCCAATATCAATTTAGTCTCTACTTTGAACTTTTATAATCTACTCTCAAACAGTAGGTTTTCTTATGAAAAATTCAGAGTCATAGTTCAAGATCAAAACTTAAAGTAGAATCCCTTTGATGAGATAACTTCTGTGACCCTGCATTTCCTCCTCTGCAAAGTGGAGATGATAATACTCACTCTGCCAGATTTGCATCTGTCATGACAACCAAATGTATGACAACACACTCTGTAAACACAGAAATGACAGGCGATCCAAGCTTCCAGTGATCAGTCTGCTGCCTGCAGCTTTAGCTCAAAAAAGAGCTGCACACTTAGTGTCGATCCCTCATTTTCTTTTTCAATCAGAACAAAAGGTTCAAATTTCTGGTCAGTGTAATAAAATGAAAAATGGTTCAGAGCAGCAGGAAAATTTCAGGCAACCTAAAGCAGGGGAAGTCTCAAGTCAGGCCAGGAGGGAAACTTGGAAAAACTGAGACAGGGAAAGGAAGAGTAAAACAAATATGCAGCTTAAAAAGAAAAAAGAACCACAAAGCTCAGCGAACTTTGGCTCCTTTTCCAGAGGCAACACTCCATCCCCAAGTTCAACGGCCCTGCCAAGAGGGAGGAGAGTTTCACAAAGAAAAGCATCTTTTGTGGCAGTGGGGGTGGCAAGGAGTGGGGGCTGTGTATCTGACGATCAAGGGAAGACAAATCACTTGCACTGAGTCTGAGTAAGAATGAAAGAAACAATAAGAGGAAAAAGGCTAAGAGCCTGAACCTGGGCTAAACTAAATTCCGTCAAACATGATTGAATATACACAATGCCGAGAGCAAAAGCAGAGGCTCACAGTCACACATGGCCAGAACCCAGGCTCACCAGAGACACCAATACACTAACGTGCTCATGCGCGAGCTTGCCTGGTGGGGCTGGACGAAGGGATGTGGACTGGGGGCTGGCGGCGCTGCAGAACTGGCAATGCCAAATCCAAAGCCCTGGAGGGAGAAGCACAAATGAAACATGAGCAAAAACCAAACAACTCTAAGCACACAGTGCAACTCCCAGTTCTACCATTTAAAAGTCTAAGACTGTCCGGTAATTCACTTTCTCTATAAAACATGGTTGATAATGCCTTGGCTGCTGTAAGAATCAAGAGTATGTCATGAATGGAAAAGAGGTTAATAAATGATTGCTGTTTGATATAAAATTTCCACAAAGCCCAGATCCCCTCCTGCTGAACACGTCCAGGGCTTAGAGCAGACCTGGTCCAGGCCTCTGTTCTGGTCACCCACAGAGCCCACTAGGTTCCTTCTAGCTAGCCTGAGCCACAGTGAGAGCAGGACTCTGACCAATCCTGTGCTTTTCTCCTCTTCCCCTCTTTTATAAGCATCCTGCCCAGCAATAGCAAAATACAAATCCTCCAGGCTCCTGAGCACCCTACCTACCGTCTCCAACTGAAGGTCATCAGCTCCCTGCTTCCCTGGAAGTGGTGTTCCTCATGGAAACCACACAACACCACCCCTACCTTTGAGTGTTAGATGCTGTTCCTTCCTCCTGCTAGAGCAGCCACATGTGCTTGCCTTGGCAAGGATGGCAGGGATGGTGACAGCAAGAGGACTTTTCTGCACTGGTCTACATAGCACCTCAGGCCCACAGGGAACTTTGGAGACACTCTGGAAGCTCCCTTGGGTGCACCAAGGAAGCTGGGATGTTAGGTGGAGCCTCGGAGGAGGCCAAGTCCTGTCCTGTGTTCCCTCCCTACCCACTTGAGTTGCAGCCCTTGCCTTCTGCATTCCATCTGCCCACCCTGGCAAGGCTCCCAGTCTCTGGCCTCCTGTGACCCCAGTGCACCAATATGTCACCCTCTACCTTCAGCTTTCCTTGGCCTCCTGTTCTCCCACTTTACTAGCTCAAATAGGAGCCCAGGACTCCAATAAACTCAGTGATGCAGAGCTCATTTGTTTTCTTTCCTTCTTCATCTTTCTTCTTTGGAAAAAAAATTTTTTTTCACTCTATGCCCACCATCCTGTTTGGCAACACAGTGTTTATAAAATTTGCTCAATGACAAGTTTACTCCTGGCTCCATGTTGCTGATTCCCCTGGGACAGAGATGTTTAGGTACTAAGAGAAAAGAGAGACTTGAGACCACTTCATAGATGAATGTCTCTTGCATGTCACAATTTTCAACATCCTTTTATGAATATATTATTATTTTTATGGGAGCCTCACAGCCACCATATTAAGCAAGTTGTTCAGATTAAATATTCACCAAGATCAAATACCTTGCCCATCAAATATCGAATTGATTAAAGATGGCCCTGGAGCCTGAGCTCACTCCTGGGAGCCTGAGCTCACACATGTGGGCTATTCATTCGACTCGGGCCCTTTCCCCACTACCCCTGAGTGGAAATGCTCATGTGCTTCAGACTCTCCTTCTGATGTGGCCTGTGCTGACCACTCTCTTTTATTTTATTTTATTATTTTTAAAATTATTTTTGGTACCGGAGATCGAACTCAGGACCTTGCACTTGCCCAGCGGGTGTGGTGCCACTGAGCTAAATCCCTGGCCCTGATCACTCTATTTTAAATCACACACACACACACACACACACACACACACACACACACCCCTACCCTTGGCATTTCTTATTCTCCCCTTATCCTGTTTTACCTTGTCTTCCTTTTCCATCACACTGAACACTTTCTAACCTAGGGCATAATTTACTTGTATGTTACTTTTCTTTCTTGTTTTTAGTTTCCTCCAGCTAGTACATAAGCCTCACCAGGTGGAAATCTTTATATCATTAGCTGCTATAGCCCCAGCACCTGGAACAGTATCTGACCTGTTGCAATACTCCATAAACACTTGCAGAGTAAAAGAATGAGCTGATGAATTTGCATTGGGTTTTGGATGTCCCTGATCTACCAGCCTCCCAGGAACCCACTCCATCAACATCTTTCCAGAACCCTCTGCAATACCTGCTCTGACCTCAGCACCTCTGCCATCATGTAGGCCTTTTTCAAAGTCCTTTTTGCCTGTACCCAAGCCTGGCTTTTTGGCTTGAACCTCACTTGCCTGCAGTCCTCTCACGAAGAGCCAGCTTAAGGTCCCATCCAGAGTGGCCCCTTCTCTGACCACCCAGTCTACATTGTAGCATCCTGACTGTTCCACTGTTTTCCTTTTCTAGACCTTCCCTCCATTATTTTCTACAAAGCACATAGCACACAGGACAGTTATTCAATGAATGTCAGAAGAAGAGAAGGAAAGCTAGAGAACTGAAGGAATGGGAGGCATCAAGAAGATCTGAATTGGGGGCCGGGGATTTAGCTCAGTGGTTTTGCCACCTGCTGCACAAGTGCAAGGACCCAAGTTTGATCCCCGGTACCAAAAAAAAAAAAAAAAGGAAGATCTGGATTGGGCTGGGGATTTAGCTCAGTGGCACTGTGCCTGCCTCACAAGCGCAAGGTCCTGAGTTTGATCCCTGGTACCCACCCACCCCAAAATCTG